ATTTATTGTGGAGGCCATTATATTCATGCTGCAGTTTATTACAGTGAATGAATATAGATTAAAATCAGCAGTAGGCTGGGCCTGATGGTGCGTAACTGTAATCCCAGGTGGTCTGGAGGCTGAGGCAGGAAGATTTCAAGTTCGAGGCCAGTCTAAACAACTTATCAAGAGCCTGTCTGTCTCAAAATAAAATTTTGAAAAGGCTGGGGATATAGCTCAGTGGTAGAGTACTTAACCTATCATATGTGAGGCCTGTGGTTTAGACCCCATATCAAAAAAAAAAAAAAAAAAAGTCAACAATGGAAAGATACAGAGAGCAGAGTCCAGGAGAAAAGAGGCACAAGTTTTTAGTTATCCTTTCCCAGTGGAGTTGCCAGTAACTACTGTATTTAATTTGCTCAGAAGTGCTGTGTGACATGTGCTGACTATTGCCGATAGAGAATCTCACCCTAGCCCAAGTGTCCAGGTTTTTATGGGGCCCAGTCATATAGGTCTGGCAGACCACTGGCATGTATGGTTGCCCTTAGTCTTCTGGCCTCCAGAGATGGAAATGATACAGTGTGGTCCAAGGGGCCCACTGTAAGTCATATTGTTAGCATAAGACTACCTGGCATCATCCAAAGCCCCAGACGAATGTGGACGCTCTTGCTAGGGACATCCCAGAGGCTTAGGGATTACCTCTCAGATGCTACACAAGGCCAGAGCTTTCTTTTGACTATTTGGGGTGCTTAGGTTTGCTGAGCCATACCTGCACTGTACACAACTACCCTGACCAGGCAGAGGTATACAATAGGTTTGTGGAGACCACACCAGAAGATGCAGGACTTTCTCTGTCTGCCATTGCCAGGCAGGCTAAGGACACAACGGGAACCCCTGGCCGGTGACTGGTGGATAGGTATGAGATACGAGTGCACATCCATGTACTTGTAACCACAATATCTACCTGGCCTGATTTGCATTACTGGCCTGGGGACCCTTGACATGGTCTCAGTCCTTTCTGGGCACTTTCATAAAGAATATACTTCCAGGGCTGCAGGCAGGACTTTATGCTAGTTCTTGTTCATTTCCAGGAATGTTCAGGTAGATTTTAATACAGGCTGTCATGCCAGGTTGTGTGATGGATGGCTATAGTCCCAACTCCTCAGGAGGCTGAGGCAGGAGGATGACAAGTTGGAAATCAGCCAGGATAACTTAGTGAGACCCTGTCTTGAAATAAAATTTTAAAAAGCCCAAAGCTGTAGCTTAGTGGTAGGACATTTGTCCTGCGTGTGGGAGGCCCTGTGTTTAATCCCCAGCACCTCAAACAAACAACAAAAAACTCAACAACTTCACAACCAAAAGCTATTACTTGGGAAAGCTCACAGGAAATCAGCTTTTTATGTGACATCTTGATTGTGACAAAGATTGCCTGATTATCACGTGCAGCAAAGTGGAGTCCCTGTGAGTTGGGAAATACGGTGTTACAAGGAAGCCACAACAAGAAGACTCCAGGATGCAAAGCTAGGCTATGCCTGAGCCGGCTGCTCTGCCAATGGGTCCAGCCCCCTGGTTTTCTTTACAGAGCAGCCAGGCTGCAGTAAGACTCCTTTGGAGCTCACAGTGAGTATGAAGTGGCATGCTTCCTCTCGCAGTGATTCAGTCTTGCACTCCTGGCTCAGGAGGATCTCCACTGTGCTGTGCCATGCTGCTCCTGCGTCTTGGCGTGGGGTCAAGATGTTTGGGCATATGGCAGGCTCTGCTCTCAGCTCCATCACTGGCTCCCCACAACTGCTGCCTACATGGCTTCAGTCTGAGCCTTCCGTCTGAGCTCTTTCATCCCTATGGGCTTGGCCAAGGCCAGATTCTCCCCTGTGTTGTGGCAGTTATTATTTTTTTTTTTTTTTGGTTTTTGGTTTTTTTCTCCGGGAACCGAACTCACGACCTTGCGCTTGCCAGGCAGGCGCTTTTTGCCGCTGAGCTAAATCCCCAGCCCCTTGTGGCAGTTATTCTTGAGACCGTACCACCGGTAAGACCACCATGACCAGGAGGAAGGTTGCTGCTCTGTCCTCTTGCTTGTGCCCTGGGGAGGGAGGGCAGAGGTGGCAAGGTATGTCAGCTCCCGAGTAATTCTGTGACATGGTTGGTCAGAGCAGTGCATGGATCTGCTGGGTGGAACAGAGGGGCAGATCCAGCGCTGGGGATCTTCTGACCTACCTGGGAGTTACTGTGGGGTTCGCAAGGCCCAGTTGACCCCAGCATATGTATGTGCCCATGCTGACTAGCAGTTCATCACCCTACCTCAAGTCTAACTGGCAGGTATTGGTCCACACGCCTTGCCATGCTGGCCATGTGACCTTGCATACATTGCCTTGAGCTCTCAATGGGCTGGATCATCCCTGTGAACCTCAAGGCAGAGGGACAAAACGCCTCAGCCATCCCCTCCTTGCCCTGTGGAGCACTGTCTGGCCACTAGGTGCCACTGTGGTGGCACCTGGGCCCTCCCCCTCCCCTTTAGCCTGGGTTCTTCTGCTATCCTGGGTGATGTGAGGCCAGGCGGAGATTGGAGGGAGCCCTTTATATATGGAGAAAACAGTATGTGACCCTCTGACTGCTGCTGGCAAACCTGGCCATGTGTGCAGATTGCTTTCATGGCCTCCTCAGTCCACTGGGCCAGGAAGCCCCGTCATAGGACTCAGGTGAGGCAAAGCTCCTCACGGTTGCCCACATACTGCCAGGCCAGGGTACCGGAGGCCTATGGGCAAGGCTCCTGGCTGGGCTCCTGGCTCTCCTGCTTGCCTCTTCCTCTTCTTGCCTCTTCCTCCACTTGCTCTTATCATCTGGCTCTGGCCTCCTGGGTCTCAGAGGTGATCCCAGAATCCTATATGGCCCTGACCACACTGTGGCCTTCTCAGGCTGCTGAGGATGTCCCATGTGTTGAGCCTAGGAGTAGGGCAGGGCATAGTGGAAGTATCACTGGAGAAACTAGGTTCGTTTGTCCTCTAGATGCCACTCTCTCCTACACAGCTCAGGCATCCTTTCAGGCATGTGTGGTACATGTGGATGCCCCTATGGATGAGCCCCAGCTTCACTGGTAGCATTGTGGGCTCCACTGACTATGGAAGCGATGGGAAATGGCCTTGAGTGATGAGTAGCAGGCATACACAATGAGTGGGGTGCTCTGAGGTTTTCCCTGTAGAGTGGTTTAGGCTGTGGGGTGACTAAGAGCCAAGGGCTATACCTACACTTGCTCTCAGAATTGGGCAGGTCAGTAGAAGTGAGATGACCCAGGGAACAGGGTGTCAGGGAGGAGTTCACCAGGCCCTAGAGAGAGCACTAGAGCTCTGTAGGGATACTGGGTGGGAGACACACACAGCCCACTGGGACCTACCAGGAGTTTGCAGAGGGAATATATAGGGACCTAGATGAAGGAGTGGACTGCAGTAGGGGAAGGAAAGAGGGGAAGGAAGGGAGGTGGCCTGTTGACCAGAGCTGGGTGGAAGGGCTGGTGAGCAGTGGGCCTGGCTTGAGTGGGAGGTGAGGGACTGGAGAGAAAGGCAGTTCCTGATGGTACCCTCCCCAGGGGCTGGCTTTCCTCTGGTCCTTCCCTCCCAATGACCACGTTTTCATCAAGACTGCAGCCCTGGGCTCTGCACCCACACCTCCAATGCCAGGCTGCCTGGAGATCCATCGGTGGCCTTCCTCTGGACCATGGAGCCCTCCCCACCACTGCTGCCTGAGGGGTAATCTGCTACTCAGCTAGGCTGGCAGGGTTCTGCAATTCAACTATAGGACCAGAGCTGCCCCTGTCAGTATCTCTGGCAGCAGCCAGGCACACAGCCCAGGGAGGTTGAAGTGGGCCAAAGCTGAGAGTACAGGCCTCCTCTGACGTCCAGAACAGCATGTTCCCAGTGGGCAGCCCTTAGATGAGCCCTCGGTCATTGTAGGCCCTAGGGAGCCCCTGGGCTCTGGGCCAGTGGGATTCCAGCAGGGACTGGCCGAAAGGGCTTCTCCAAGTGATCACAGGTTGGCAGGTTCTCATGTCTGGGGAAGACCAACTCTCCCATGGTGAGACCACTTAGGACTTCTGGGAATGTGGGTGCCAGGATTCCCCATCTGCAGCACCTGGCAAGTGGGACTCCTGGGGCCCACACAAGGCCTAGCATGCTTCTCATCTCCCTGCACTGTCTTCTGGATGATTCTGTTGATCCTTCTCATCAACTATGTACAATCTGGTCCTTTTGTGGGTGGGAGCAGGTCTAGGATGAACCCAGGGCCTGTGCCTGTTAGGCAAATGATCTATCACTGAGCTATGTCTCCAGCCCTCTTTAAAATTTTTAAGACAGGATTTCACTCAGTTGCCCAGGCATGCTGGGCCTGGGTTCTAATCTGCTAACCCAGATTTGAACCTAGCACCTGGCTTCCAATCTGCTTTTCACTTCATTGCTGTTTGATGCCCCCCCCCCCCCACACACAAATTCACTCCTCACCTTTAGTTTATGGTTCCTATAACTCCCATTTCTTGAACTTTCTAAAAGTTCCTTTTCGCACTTTGTAAACTTTCCACTTTACTATCACTGCCTTCATTCTACAGATATTTTCCATCTGCTTCAGCTGGGTGGTTTTTTTTGGGGGGGTGGTCTCTGATACATGTGTAGGTCTCTTTCTGCTGATCCTTACTCCTGGCACTTATACCCAAAGGTACTAACTATTTGAGGTACCCCCCACCCCGCAGCTCTTGCTTTATATTGACAGAGAGGGTTGGCCCAATCACTTTCCCACCAGTGCTGGAGCCATAAGTTACCAATGGGATGATGGTAGTACCTACTGGGGCGCCCAAAAAGGGGCATCCAGCCCACTTCTGACCTCTCCCACACAGAACCTTTCTCAGCTGGGCATCCCTTTGACTCAGCAGCCTACAAAAGGCAATGGATACCTGAGAGTGCATGTTTGTTTTCAAGGGCTGCACATTCCCTAGCAACCTGTGGTTCTGTAGATGGTCACATCACCATGATAGTCTCATTTGGACTGTCACCAGCTTTTTCCTAGGGCAAAGGATTGGTTCCCAGTGGCCATCCACCCTGCAGGGATCCAGCATACAGTAGATACCAGGGAAGAAGGATATGTGGGTAGGTAGAGGAGGACTGGAGTGCCTTGGCAGCGTGTGTGTGTGTGTGTGTGTGTGTGTGTGTGTGTGTGTGTGTGTGCGAGAGAGAGAGAGAGAGAGAGAGAGAGAGAGAGAAGAGACAGACAAACTCAGGGCCAGTTGGGCGTGGGTCCTTTGCTGATCTCAGTGGGGTCTGTGGGAGTTGGTGGGGCCACAGTAACAGAAAAGCATTCATAGATGGTGGGATGAATCCTTTGTGTCTTTGCCTCTGAACCAGACCAGTGAGTGGGGGAATATGATGGTGGTGTCCATGGAAAGGTCCCATGAGGTTGGCAGGTTCCCTGTGGGTGGTGCAGTGGAAATACCTTTGTTCTGTGAGTGCTGAGATCCAGAATCTACAAAGGTTTTATATCAGAGGCCCAAGAATCAGGGGCCACCGATGTCAGAGGAGAGCTCTCACTATTCCCAGGGCCTTTCTCAACTGGGCATTCAGAGGCTTTCAGAGGCTTCTAGCTTGGAACAGTGAACTGGATCCTTTCTCAGCCTATACCCTTTGCTTTTATACCATAGACAGGCATGGTGGTCCTTCCCCGGAAGATGGCCTGTGTGGCTGCTTGTCCATGACTTGTTGAGATGTGGAGTAAATATGGGCTAGGTCTGGACATCTCACCCTGGCCTTCTGCCTCAGCAAGATACATAGAGGGCTTGAAACACAGAGATACACTTTATAGATGTGTTGTCTTCTGGGAGGAGCACAAGCTGTAGTGGGCACGATGGGCTAAACATCTGGGGCCAGGGCCATTACCAAGACACTTCCCAATCCCTAGGGTGCCCCAAGACAGGGCATGGCCCACCTTGAGCCCTAGAGAACCATGAGACAGGTCACAGCCCACTCAGACCTCTAGGGCATCTTCTTGTGCACTTGGAGCTCAGTAACCTCCACTAGACCTGCATATGCTCACAAATGCAGTCACACGTGCATACAGACGAGATCAGGCACGTTCAGGGTGCAGTGGCCATAGACTGTGCATACAGATAGCAGCACACAGACATAAATGCACACACAGATACTTTCTCACATACAAGTACATGTGTGTGTATGCACACCAACATATTCAGGCACTTAGCTCTGCACACTCATATCTGTGCACATACGCTGAACACCTGTACTCCACACATGCCTGTTCATTAGACTTTTCTCAGAGGAATCTGTTCACCCCACTTTAGTATTGGAGTAGCTTCTTGGTTGTCCCTTGTTCTTGCTACAGACAATGACTCTGCCCTGGATCTGCATTATGCACGTTTCAAGGACCTTCAAGTCATTTTCAGGGTTGGTGGTACTGAACTCTAATCTCAGTTTTTTAATCCGTTGTGGGATAATGCCTGCTGGGGTCCCAAGGGCCCAGGGTCCATATGGCAAAGGGATGCGTTGTCACCCAGGTTTGAGGGCACATCCCTAATACGTGTCCCTGCCTGCTGGTGTGAGTGAATAAAGCCTCCCAGGTGAGTGGGGCGTAAGGCCCTGTGGGGGGGTACCAGAACCAAGATGAAGTCTTATGGGGGAAACTTGGCACTGTTGGAGAGGAGAGCTTGTCACCCGCTGGTTCCAGCTGCATGTGTGGTTCCTATTCTTGCGGCAGGTGCTACCGCCTCTGGCACCCACTCACAATTCCCCCTGCCACCAGCATCATAGGTCCAGGGTCAGTGGGTGTTGTGGTGGCAGAGGTACAGACTGCTCAGTACTGATGAACGCCCAGGTGAAGGGAGAGGTTTGTACGGTGCCGACAACCATGTGATTTTTGCCCATCCAGCCCTGCTCACTGGTGGTTCTGTTCTGGGCTGTTGCAGGTTCCGTGAGGCCTTTCTGTCACCTGCTGACTGCCGTTTATTCAACTTATTCTTTTCCTTTTCCCTCAGACTTTGTGACCCTGTGTGAGCAAAGCTACCCCTTGCCACTCATGTGCATCATCTTCTTTAAGTTTGATCCTCGACCTGCTTCCAAAAATGCATACAGGTAACCCCCTTGCCCTGCATCTGCCATGCTCCGCTGGGTCTGGGGTACGAGCTTGTTCTAATTCCACATGGGCACCATGTACAAGAGAGGCGAGGGAAGGCCCCAGGGCGTGTGGGCCAGGCCCTGGATGGCCGAGTCCCAGTGGCAGGATCTCACTAAATTGCCTAAGACGAGTTCAAACTTTCAATCTTCCTGCCCCAGCCTCCTAGAGTGCTGAGATTATAGGTGTGTACCACCACACCTGGCTAAGTTTTCTTCACTTAAAGATGTGTTCCAGAAATGATTCAGACTGTTTCAGCTAAGTTCTCCCATTGAGTCACTGCAGAATTGCATAGACCCTGTGGAACTTAATGTCATGGCTAAATTCACTCAACAGCAACTGCGTGGGTGCCCAGTGTTTTTTTCTTTCCGACAGAGGAGAGACCAGAGAGGCAGGCCAGGCTCGAGGAGGTGATCCTGAACAGCCCCTAGCAAAGTGAGTAAGGCAAGTCAGGGTCCAGCCTCCAGACAGAATCCTGCAGGGCAAGTGTGTAGTAAAGAACTACTAACTATCACAGGGCACTGGCGTTGTGAGGGATTGGCTAGAGAGAGGTGAACATAACTCTAAGAATACAGGAATAGCAGATATAGGGAGCAACCACTGCCTCCATGGCTGAGATGGGGTGCCCAGGATAGTACCTTCTCTTTTACCTTCGGGCTGAGATCCAGACCTTGCCAGAGAAGGTATGGCTGTGACCCACTAGATGCCAGGAAGTCCCTGAGTTGCCGTGCTGGCAGAAGTTGCTGGAAATCTATCTTCTGGGTCCTGGCACCTATTACTGGGTGAATGCTAGATGAGGGTGCTGGACACTGAATGCTGCTTACTACTGGCACCATAGGGGCCAGGACCTGGGGAGGCCACACATGTTGCAGGAGCCTCCTGAAGAAGAGGCGGGGGGAAAGCTGCCCTTCATCCTCTAATGTCTCTCTAGCATCTTCCAAGCAAGGGAATGGATCCTTGAATCTGTCATGAGCACTATTTGTTATTCCCAGATACAGCCACAGCCCCACTTGATATTTGGTTCCTTGTGGACCGCCTTTATGTAATGTAAAAATGGTAAGAAGGAGGGAGAAGGAAATGGTGAGTATACATACCCCGTGCAAAAGGCAGTAAGGAGAACTGTGAAAGCTGAGAAAACTGTGGCATGGCATGCTCCTATAATCCTGTGTGCTTGGGAGGGTGAGACAGCAGAACCATGAGCTCAAGGCCAGCCTAGGCAATTTAGCAAGAACCCATCTCAGAAAAAAAAAGGGGGTGAGGGGAGGAGGAAGAGGGCTCCTCTTGGACCTGGGCACAAGTACCTAGTGGCCACACACATGGGACAAGCTGTACCCACCTGGTCACCATTAGGGGAGGCTCTGCTTCCAACCTGTGCTGGCCAACAGGATCGGACTCCAGGCTTCCTGCTTTGCTACCTGGGCCTCACTGTACCTCAAGTCAGCCTGGGACCCTGGGGATTGTCCTTCATTTACTGTTTTCCCCCTGCCACTTCCTTAGCAAAAATAAGATAATTGGAAAACAGGCCGAAATAACCTGAGTTGAAAATACTGATTAGAAAGCCAGGCTTTAGTGAGCTCAAGGCCAGCCTGAACTGCATAGTGAGACCCCGTCTCAAAAAGACAAGAAAAGAAAGCCAGGCTTTGTTTCCAGCACCTTCATTATGATTATCACAGCTGGGTCTTGGCTGCCATATTTTTTTGGGAGAGGGTACCGGGGAATCAGACTCAGACCTCACACTTGCCAGGCAGGCACTGCGCCACTGAACTAAATCCCCAGCCCCTAACAGCTGGCTCTTGGCGAGGTGTGGGAATAGTCCCTTTGAGTTTGTTCCTGTAAAGTCACACCAGCAAGAGACAGACTCTTGATGGGAGTCATCCGTAGTCATAACATGCTATGGGCTACCTTGTGTCCCCCTCATATTCCTGTGTTGAATCCTCACTTGTCAGAATGTGACTGTGTTTGGAAATAAACTTTTAACAAAGCGATGAAGGAGGGGGAGAGAGGAGACTGAGAATGATCAATATATCTCTATATATTTATATCTTCAAAATGAATGTAATTATTATGTATCATAAATGTGTATACCAGTAAGATTAATTTTAAAATGGGGATACATTCTGGAAAAAAAAGTAATGAAGGCAAAATGAGGCCATATTGGCAGGTCTGATTCAATGTGATGGGTGCCCTTATAAAAAGAGATTAGGACACAGACATACTATGGGAGGCCAGTGTGAATACAGAGATAGTAGACTCGTTTATGTGCTGAGAGGAGATCTCAGAGGAAACCAACTGTTGACACCTTTATCATGGATGTCCAGCCTCCAGAACTGCAAGATAATAAATTGCTATTGTTGAAGCCATCCGGCTTGTAGTGCTGTTATGTGGTACCTCTGGGAAACTAAGTCCTGATAGGCTGAGCAGCTTGGTGTGGCCTCTTCCAGCAGGCTGCCCCAGGGGTTTTTTCTTATGGTCAGATCCTCACCTCTCCAGGAGGAAGCTTAACCCCCAGCTTCCAGGATGCTGGTCCCTGCTGCTGGCCACTCAGGTGGAGAGGAGGAGGGTGGGCACAGACCTATTTTACTTCCTCTCTTGGAATGTGTGCATCACTGCTAGGCCTATCCTTGTGGATCTTGGTGGCCTCAGCATTTCCCACGCACCTTTTAGTTTATAGGCCAAAAACTAAATAAGCTGCTCCTAGGTGACTGAGTGAATATGCATTAGGCTTTCTCAACCTTGACAGAGGGGTTCAGAGGGCTTCCAGTGGCTCCTTCCCTTCCAGCTCTGGAGGTGTCCAGCAGCAGTGGCAGGCCACAAGCCGGTAGGATAGGTCTTTCTGTGGAATCCCTAACTTGGGTCTCAATTACAACCTTGAGATTTGTGCAGTGGGCCAGCTTTGCCTACAGACTGACCTGTGGATTAACAGACAAGTGGGTACTGGTCTGAGTTTGGGCCATAAACCAAAATGGCATAGTCCCAAGTGCTGAAATCCCAAAAGATCAAAATAAAAATCCCTAAAGTCTAAGATTGCCAAAAATCACAATCCTGAAAATGCAATGAAGGGGAAAATTATTTATTTATTTATTTATTTTTATTTATATTTATTTTTATTTATTTTTTGTCTTTTTGAGACAGGGTCTCACTTCGTAGTTCAGGCTGGCCTTGAACTCAGTATGTTGCACAGCTGGCCTCGAACTCATGATCCTCCTGCCTCAGCCTCCAAAGTGCTGGGATTATAGGCGTGCACCACCAGGTCCGGCTGGGAAAATAATTTAAAACAATTCTTGATCAGTGTCATGGCACATGGCTGTAACTCCAGCACTTAGGAAGCTAAAGCAGGAGTATCAACAGGTTGAGGCCAATCTGGGCTACATAGAGAAACTATATCTCAAAATACATACATATAGTCCTTTGAGCTGGGGATGTAGCTCAGGCAGGAGGCCCTGGGTTTAATCCCCAGTACCACACAAACCGTAAAGGAATAGGTCAAAAGTGAAATGTATAAATACGTATCACTATGGTTGGTAATTGTATGTACTCAGCTTTATAACTGTGGTCATTGGAAATATGGCAGACAGTCTCAGATTGATCTGTAACTATGATAGGTTGCAGCTATAGATGTAGTTACTCAGACAGCCAAGATTTGGAGAACTTTTGTTTTTCACAAATACGGATGTACTGTATAAAAAGAACATCATTTGTCTGCCTGGCAAATGTGAGGTCACAAGTCTGATTCCTGGTACAAAAAAAAAGAACATCATTTCATTTGTTAAGGAAGTTTCAACATTTCTACTTACAAGCTCAATATCAATGCAGATAATTGATGCATTTTTTTTTTTAAAAATCATTTTAAAGAAAAAAACCAACAAAATTCCAAAACAATATAATAGGAGAGTAACAATGGTTAATACATTGTGTATTGTTACCTTTAAATTAGTTACTCAGAGTACAAGGTAGCAACATTTAATTGTCAAACAATATTAGCACAAACCTCCATGAACTAAGAGAAATTACTAGTGTAACTATTTTAACTGTCTTTTATATATAAATATGTATTTTTCTTTTGCTTTCATCTCACACTAGGGAGACAATACAATGTTTACACATTAAATAATGCATTTTTATTATTTTTTTTTTTTTGGTTTTTCTCCGGTACCGGGAACCGAACTCACGACCTTGCGCGTGCCAGGCAGGCGCTTTTGCCGCTGAGCTAAACCCCCAGCCCCAATAATGCATTTTTATATTGATATTTTTGTTGTTGCTGCATCTCATGGTCAATCTCTTCCTCATAATTCTGCTTTCTGTCCCTCTTTATGTAGCCTTTTTTTGGCATTAGATTACACTTTTGGCAATAGTGGCTTTCAGAAATTTCAACATTTGAGATTAATCTTTCAAGATTGTGATTTTTGGGGCTGGGGATTTAGCTCAGCGGCAAAAGCTCCTGCCTGGCAAGCGCAAGGTCGTGAGTTCGGTTCCCGGTACCGGAGAAAAAAAAAAAAAAAAAAAAAAAAAAAGATTGTGATTTTTAGGATTTAGAATTTGGACCAGGTGTAGTATTTTGGTTTGTTTGTTTGTTTGATTGGTCTTTTTGAGACAGGGTTTCACTATGCAGTTCAGGCCGGCCTTGAGCTCACTTTGTAGCACAGGCTGGTCTCAACTCACAAACGATCCTCCGGCCTTAGCCTCCCGAGTTCTAGGATTACAGGCATGCGCCACTATGCCTGTCTGGACCAGGTGTAGTAGTACACACCTATAATCCCAGCATTAGGGATGTCTTGGCAGGATTACTGCAAGTTGGAGGCCAGTTTGAGCTACATAGTGAGTTAAGGTTAGCCAGAACTATCTGCAAGACCCTGTCTCAAATTAAAAAAAGAAAGAAAGAGAGGGGGAGGGAGGGAGGGAGGGAGGGAGGAAGTGGGGGAGAATTTGGAGATTTTTAGATTTTAATTATGTATGGTTTTTTTGGAGGCAAGGTTTTGTATGTAGTTCAGGCTAGACATAAACTTTTATGTTGCCCAAGCTGGCCTTGAACTCACGGTGATCCTTCTGCCTCAGCCTCCAAAGTGTTAGGACTACAGTTGTATACTGCCATGCCCCGTGAGATCTTTAGATTTTGGGTGTTTGTTTGGTTTGATGCTAGGGATTGAACTCGAGCTATATCCCCAGTCCTTTTTAAAAAATCAATTAATTAATTTGAGACAGGGTCTCAAATTGAGTAACTGGGATTATAGGTGTGTGCTACCACATGCAGTAGACTTTAGAGGTTTTGGTCTTTTAGGATTTTAATATCTGGGATTATGTTTTTGGGATAATGACCAGCATTTGTAGCTTTAAGATGCTATGTTTGCAGTAATTTGATACCTGTCATAGAAAATGAAGATACCACCAGCAGGGTAACATGGTTACATTGTCGTGTAACCCTCATCTTACTAAAAAATGTTTTTTATATTCCTGTGTGAAGCCCCTTGCTGGCTAGGACCTGGAGTGGCTGCTGGACAAGCTGTTGCCTCTGGGGTTACCCCTTAAGACTTGATTGCTGGGTCACAGCACAAAGCACTTGCTACCTGCTGCCAACTTACCCCCACCCCCATGATGACAGACTCACCCTCAAATGGTGTACACGCCCACCCGCAGATAGTGCATAGACTCACCCCTCATGTATTGCAAATGCTCACCCCAGCAGTGTGAGGCTTGCCTGGTGTTAATAGATCATCAGTCGCAGCAGTTAGTGGAACAGAACAAAGCCCGGGGATGACTTGGCATGCTCCGAGCCCTGCACTGTGGTGTCACAGCCCCAGCTCCCTGCACACTGGGTGCGGATGAAGCTTCCTCTGCATTGCAGCCCCCACCAGTGTTGACTGAGGGAATCACTTCCTCCTCTGTCTAGGGCTCACTGTGAGTGCTCATTACACCTGCTCATCTCTGAATTCTGTATTTTAATGAAATCCCCGCCAAGCCACCAGCAATTCAACTAAGCAGGGACTCCTATAATAAAAATAACCCGGCAATTACTGTTTTCAAATTATTAGGCAAACATTACTTGTTTAAAAATAGGCAGTTGAACATCTTAGCATAAAATGCTCCGCTTAGTCAGCTTTTCATCTCATTTCCTCTTAAATTTTTTTTTTTTTCCTGTGCTAGAGCCTTATGTAAGAATTGGCAACCAAAAATAAAATAAAATCATAGTCAGCAACCAAAGCTAACAGCCCCAACCTGGCTTTGGGCTGTAGAGCTCATCATCCTCTCCCTGGAGCCCTGACAGGGGCCTCTGAGCTCCCTTCTCTCATCTATCCTCAAGGCCAGGGAGGTGAGAGCAGAGAAAGAACATTTGGTATTTAAGAGAAAGTACCAAAAAAAGACCACATGGAAATCGACTCCTATCCTTAGTGGCAATAAGGACTCTCAGCCTGGTCCCTGGTGTGTCTTTCACAACTCTCTAACTTCTTGCCACTTGGAGACTATGTTATCTTCCTCCTCCTAACCATTGTCCAGATAGAGCCTGTGCAGGCCCAGGAGCAAATGTGCTTATTCAGCTGGTGCCTGCCAGGATGGCCCTGCTAGGATGCCCAGGAAGTGCAGGCCCTGTTGCTGGCCCTGCTGCAGTGGTGGTGGGTAGTGGTGGGGACACTTCAGTCCAGAAGGGACACAGCAGGTATGGTGTGACACACAGGCTGAGTCTGGATTGGAACTTGTTAGTTAGAGGTACAAAGGATTATTTTGTGAATGGCTGCGGTTTGTAGCAAGGATGGCGGCCACCCTTCTGCTACCCTGGGCAGATAGGGTGCAACCGTGAAGGTGGCTAAGTCGATGAGACAGAGAGTGGCTGGTACTGCAGCTAGAGGTAGGGTGGACCAAATGGGGTACCCTGAAGGCTTTCATCAAAGACTCAGAGGGCTTGAAGTGATGTACAGTCCCTGGGCAATAACACTGCCCCACCTCCCTGCACACATATAATACTGTAAATCACAGAATGAAACAGCCCTCAGAAGCCCTACGTGCTGCTGAGATTTGGCATATATCCTCGAAGTCCTTTTGGCAAGGGGTTCACACTTCCAGGAAGCCTGCAAGCTTGCTATGGCTGTTCTCAGGGAATAGGACAGATGGTCAGAAGGGGTGGTCTCATGTCTCTAGCCCAGCTCCTGCTGTGTGCTTGGTGGCAACACTGAGGATCCTCACCTGCCCAGCCATCCTCCCACTGGCCAGGCCCTATTTGGCGGGGGCTGTATGGACAGGGGTTGAGGCTGTCCCATTGGGCCTGGCGAACCTGTCTCCCGGCTGTGAGCCAAACCTAAATCTTTGCATGGCACCTGTCTGTTTCCTAGGCAGGGGCTCTGAGCAGTCTCTCTGGGAGCTGCCTGGAGTCACTGTGGACCTTTGTCAGGTAAAGGCCTTGTGAGGACGGGTGGGTTCTTGTCCTCTTTGGAACTTGTACATGTAAACTACTACCAGAAATTTGATATTTTAATAAGTGAGAAGGCTGAGGGTATACAGTGCAGGCTTAATTCAATCCCTAGGACCCAGAGAAATAAAGAGGGGCGAGCTGGACCTGATGGCATGTCTGTAATCCCAGCACTTTGGGAGGTGGAGGCAGGAGGATCACAAATTCAAGCTCAGCCTGGCCAACTTAGTAACTTAGACCCTGTCTCAAAGACAAAAAGTTAAAAAGAGGGAGGCAGGGATGTAGCTCAGTGTGAAGGCCCTGGGCTCAGTCCCGAGGGGGACATGGCTTTTCTGTTTCTGTGTAAAATGGCCAGTCATGCTTTCTTCTCTCAGGCTTATCTTGGCAGCCAACAGGGATGAATTCTACCACAGACCATCCAAGCTAGCCGACTTCTGGGGCAACAACAATGAGATTCTCAGTGGTAAGTCTTCTTTTACACCTGTTTGACAGCTATTCAATGTGGCCCCACCTGAGCCCCTGGGGCAGCATGAACCCACAAGTCCCAAAATGAGCATCACAGGAGCCCTGCTTCCAGTGTAAATGCCAAATATATGAATGGAGAGGTGTGGGTCTGGGGTCTGGGGCATTGCTAGGTTAGCCATTGAGCCTCCTTGAGCTGTCCACCCAGCACTGTCCACATGGCATCACACGCCTTGGTTAGTCTGCATATGGAGACCATGTCCCTTGGTCACTTTCCGAGGCACCCTGCTGTGTGTGCATGCACCTCCGTGTGTGTGTGTGTGTTTGTGTCTGCGTCCACGGTTCTGTTGTGCGCTCTTTGCTCCAGAGATAGTGGGTTGAGTTGGGGAGCAAAGCCTTGGATAGGGAACATTTTATATTCTTAGAAATACTACCATTGAGCTTCACCCTAGATGCAAATAGGGTTTAAGAGATGAAATTTGACAGGCAAGTGCAGAGCCATGCCCAGCATAGGGCTAATTATTCTCAACTCCTAAGGTCTGATTTTCCTCAGAAATGAACCCAGTGCACCAGGAATTACGTGCTTTTTCTAATGTGGCTTCTGAGAGCAAGCGCTCTTCCCTGTCCTGTGTAAGGACTATCCCTCCAGTCCTTCTGGGTATTCTTTCCTGGCCTCATATGTGTGCTGATCCCATGTCCAGATACCTCTGTGTAGTTCTCTCTTTGGTCTTCTGTCTCATGAACTCTGGCTGCCTCAGTCTTCCTGAACTCTTCACCCTATCCTGGCCTCTGCCTGGATCCCTACATCTTTCTCTCACTGGATCCTGCGGACTCTGATCTCATGAGGGGCTCTAACTTCATGCGGGCCTCACTTCATTTGTTTCTCATTTCTCAGATCTTTTATCACAAGACCTGGGTTTTTTCCCCATATGTTTCCTTTGATTTTTGTTTGTTTTATACAGGAGAGAAAATCTTAACTCTGTTGCTTGGCCAGATAAGGAATTCTTACTCATTTTCAAATTATTGACTTGTAGGATTTCTTTATGCATTCTGGATGACTCTTGTTGGCTAAATGTACGCCTACTCGTTTCCTTGATGCTATCTTTTGGTGAGCAGAATGTTTTATTTTAACAAATTGCAGTTTATCTATTCCACTGTAGTTCGCTTTTTTTGTGTTTTGCCTGAGAAGTCTGTGCTGCCCCTCAGTGATGTTTTTCTCTATTTGGTTAAAGAAGCCTTCTGACTTTGAGGTCTATGGTTTGGTTTGTGATTTTAAAAAAAAATTGTTTTTGTACATGGTGTGAAGTAATGGTAGAGGTTCATCCCCTACCCCTATCCCTCTAGTTGTTTCAGCACCATTTACTAGATGGATATTCTTTTGCTTATTGTATAATTCTGGCAACTTGGGTGTAAACCAGTTGATCATATATGTGTGGGTCTATTCCACACTCTGTTGTGTCCCACTGATATGTGTGTATGTCTTGATGTCAACACTACAGTATCTTACTTACTGTCCTTTTGAGCCAAGTGGAATGAATGTCTGTAGTCCCAGTTATTTGGGAAGCTGAGGTGGGGGAATCATTTGAGTCTAGGAAGTCAAGGCCAGCTAAGGCAACATGGAGGGACTCCAGCTCAAAAAAGAAAGTCAAACATCAAGTAAGTGTCTTTTCAGCAGGCCTTAAATCAGGTATAGTGTTTGTGCTCCAACCTTGTTCTTTCGCAGAACTGTTTGGTTTCCCAGTTCTTTCACAGGTTTTTTGTTTTTGTTTTTAAATTAAATTAATTAATTTTTTTGAGACAAGTTCTCACTGTGTAATTCAGGCTGGCCTTAAATTCAGTATGTAGCCCAGGTTGGCCTCGAATTCAAGACAATTCTAGTGCCTCAGCCTCCTGAGTACTGGTATTACAGGTGTGAATCACCATGCCCAGCTAAAGCCTAACATTTTTAAGCAGTTCTTCTTTACCTTTAGCTTTAGAGTATCCATTCAAAATTCTGTTTTCCAAAGTTACTTAGGTGATATCTGGGCATGGTGCTTACACCTATAATCCCAGCACTCAGGAGGCTGAGGCAGGAGGATTACTATGAGTTTGAGGCAGTTCTGGGCTATAGTAATAGGACAGCCTGGAACACATGGTGAGACCATGTTTCAAAAAGCAAAGCAACAAAGTTACTTGTGTGAGTTCTTTCTCCTTCAATGATCTAGCATAGATTCATTTATTACAATTCATGTTCCATGTTGGGTTTCCCTTGTATCCTCTTTGATCTGGCTTAAATGTTTGCTTATATTTTCTGCCTGGGGCTGGGGATTTAGCTCAGCACCTGCCTGGCCAGCGCAAGATCGTGAGTTTGGTTCCTGGTACTGGAAAAACAACAACAACAACAAAAAACAAACAACAACAACAAAAAAACCAAACAATATTTTCTGCCTACTTGGGCTTTGGGGTGTATTTTTTCATTTCCATGGTCCTAAGAATCAACACAATAAGGGGTACCCAGAAAAGTACCTTCCCCCTTATTATTGCTGCCCTGTTCCCATTCCCCATTTTGTTCCACATTTTCTCATCCACCCTATGGAGGTGGCTTAGGCATTTTCGTCATCCCTGGGACAAAATACCAGACACTCACAATTTAAAGAAGGACAGGTTTATTTTGGCTCATGTTTCAGGCCTTAGTTGGCTGGCTCCAAGGCAGGATGGCATGGCAGAGCAGCATGGTAGAAGACAAGCTGTTCCTTATGGCAGCCAGGAAGCAGAGGGCAAAGGGAGAAGCTGGGGAGGGCGATACTGTATCCCCTTCCAGGCTGTGCCCCAGTGACCTGCTACCTCTGACCAGACCCCACCTAACAGCAGGTCAGCTGCACTGCCCCGTCATCCACCTTCCAAACATATGAGTCTCTGAGGGCATTTTAGGTCTAAACCATAACATTATGCCCCCAATCCCCAAAAGACTCACTTGTGTCACTTTATGCAAAATGTATTTAGCTCATCTCTAAGAGTCACCACAGTCTTGGCAGCTCCAGCATTGCTGAAAAGTCCAAGTCCAAAGTCTCCTCTGAGACTCAAAGCAAACTCTTGGCTCTGAGCTTCTGTAAAAATCAAAAAGAAAGTTAAACACTGCTGACAGACAATGGTACACGGTAAACACTGCCATTACAAAAGGGAGGAATAGGAATATGGAAACCAATGAGACCAAAGCAGGATGAAACCCGGCAGGGCAAACATTAAATCCTGTAGTTCCATGTCTAGCACCCAGGGCAAGCTGTGGTGAGATCTGAACTCCAAAGAGCCTGGGCAATCATGCCCCTATGGCATTGCCAGTGGTTGCAGCTCTCATGGCTTCTCTCTTGGGCTGGCATTGCCCACTCCTTGTGGCCTTCCTCAGCTGTTCCAAATTCCTGGCTTCTCCACCTTTCTGGGGTCTCCAATGCAGTTTTGACTTTATTCTCATAGCTTCATTCAGTGCCTTCTCAGGGGTACACTGCCTGGCCTCCCAGGACTTCTGAAATCTAACACTCTGGTCTAGCAAGTGCCCTCCTGTGGTGCTGGACCTGTGCCAGTTCCTGGTAGATGAGGCCCCCAAAGCAGGGAAGCTATCTTAGTGCCCTGAACTCCTGACCATAGGCCATGTGCAAGATGTGCTCTGCAGAAGTCATGTGCAGACCACCTAGTTTCAGGTTCACCCTATTGATACCAAGATGGGCATATCTGGTACCTGCAATGTCCTGTGGGACCAGGGTTATTACCTGTACTCTTTGCATACCCTAGGAACTGCCTCACTTTGCAGACTTGGAGCCCGTCTATGGCTAGGGCTGCTGGGCTGAGCTACATATTCTCATGGAGCCACTGACATTGCTTTTCCTAGGATACAGGCACTGGGTGGGAACCAGAACCCATCACAATGAGTGGTAACTCTGTCACCTGCCACAGGGCTCGACATGGAAGAAGGCAGGGAAGGAGGCACATGGCTGGGCATCAGCACACGAGGGAAGCTAGGGGCGCTTACCAACTACCTGCAGCCACAGCTGGACCGAGATACCCGTGGCAGAGGTAAAGGGGAGCAGGGGTAGCAGGCCTGGGCCCAGGCAAGGGGGATGTGTGCCACAGTGGGGCAGGGCCTAGTAAGGCAGGTAGTATGGGGCAGCAAAGGTAGGCAGGAAGTAGGAGGCACCTAGAGGGAGCTTCTGCTAGGCTCCTTACCTGCCTCAGGAACATGAGGCAGTGACGAGAGAAGGGGAGGGGACCTAGGGCATCGCCATAGCAGCCACCATTGGTCTGGTCTCTTGGCACCCATAGAGATGTAGTTATCTCAGGGAGAACCCTCTAAGTGTGTCAGTCCACAAAATGTCACTCCTCACTATTTGTCCCTCACCTGTCAGCAGCATGGATACCTCCCCCTCTTCCTCTAGCACAGTTCTATGGACACACATCATTCATGCTGAAGATTTTTCTTGGTGCCGGATTTCCGTAGAGAGACATAGTGGGAAAATACTTTGTCTTTTTTTTTTTTAAGATGGGATTCTCTATATGTTTCCCAGGCTGTCCTCAAACTCATGATCTTCCTATCTTATCCTCTCAGCTAGCTAGGATGACAGGTGTATATAGCCTCTGTGCCTGGCTGGAAGATTTTAAAAAACAAAACAAAAAAAAAAAATCATAGTTCACAGTGCCACTATTTGTGGCAGCCCTCTCAGTGAAGTGTGGCTGACTCTAGTTGCTGTAGCTCCAGTGGGAGCCCTCTATCTTTGTTGTCCCAAGGGGGTTCCACTATGGTATCTCAAGAAAAGGGGCTCATCTGCCACCCCAGTCATGTGTCCCTGTCCCCTGCATACAGGTGAACTTGTAACCAACTTTCTGACCACTGACATGGATAGCTTGTCCTACCTGAAGAAGGTCTCCCAGGAGGGCCACCTGTACAATGGCTTTAACCTCATAGCAGCTGACCTGAGGTGAGTCTGCCAGAAGGGGACAGCAGCCCTACCCAGCACTGCCCTGGGGCCAGGTCTCCTGGCATCAGGCTCAGGATTCCACCACTCTAGTCAGCGTGGCAGCCTTTCCCAGGATGTCATGTACAAGAGCTTGGCAAACATCCCAAGGACCTAACCTGTCACAGGCCCATCAACCTGGGTAGTAGGCAGCTGAGTCAGGGCTTCTTGCTCTCTGCCTCAGGAGAGCTGAAGTGGGGAGCTGGAGAGCTGGAGAGCTGGGGCTGTGACGGGCAGTCTGAGGCCCTGGCTAGCTGTCCATTCTCCTCCCATGGGAGGCCCTGTAGAACAGCCCACAGCAGCCCTGGTCCGGTGCTGTAACCCTAGGTGATTCTCACGTTAGAGAGATGGCCACAGGCACCGCAGAGATTTTGTGTCTTGCCTTTCGGTAAAGTGAGCATCCTCCTTTAGCTCCCTCTGACTCCTCTCTTTCCCCTTCTAATGCCCAGAAGTCAGTGAGTGCTATGAACCTAGGTAGGCAGGTGTGTCCAACATGCAGCCTATGAGTTGAACGTGGCTGGGTGGTAGTAAGAAGTATTTAAAAGATTTTTTGTTATTTGTATGTTACTTGTATTTTTTATATGTGGCCCCAAACAATTCGTTTTCACTCAGTGCATCCCAGGCAAGCCTGGCATGTCTAAGCCATGGGCTGCTGGTTGGAGGGGATTCCTCCAGGACAAACAGATGGGGGTGAGGGTCAGTTAGTACCCATGTCCAGAGCCCCTTGTTGAACTGCTTCCTTCCATGAGAGCAGGTCTGCTGTGCCTCTGGCATCCACTGCATGTGGAATGCTGCGTCCTACCCCTGTACCACATGGATGGGAGCATACGATACGGAGGCTGGGCAGGCTGCAGTGGCCCATAGGAGGAGGGCCAAGGGTGGAGGCTGGTGTTGGCACTTGCTGTCCAGAGCTCTCCTCCCTGCTGACCTATAGCAGCTCCAAGTCCATGTGCTCCCCAAACTTGGAGACCACTTTGCCCTGTCACTTGTTCCTAGTGTGTGTGACCCAGATTCAGGAGAACAGAACAGTAGCTGTGACACTGGTGGAACTGGGCACTCAGCACCTGTGCCAAGTGGCTGGGAGACAAGGGAGCTGTGCTCTGCATGGCTGTGTGGGCACATATCCCGTGTAACCCCTGCAATTGTGGAAAGTGGGGCCCTGGGCCTCTGGGAACCTCAGCAGCCTTTCCTAGCTCCCTAGGTCAGGAGTGTGCCACCCTGATCACAACCCAAGAAGGCAGATAGTGACCAGAGAAGCATCCCATGGGTCAGTGGCAGATGGTACCAGGGCTGAGGCTAGCAGGTGGCAGTGAACAGGCCTGCTGGTGGGTGCTGATGAGGAATCCAAGCCACAGCAGGCCCTCCCTTTGCCTGGCCAGGGTGGCTCTGGCAACAACCCCAGCATGGGCAACTGATACTACTGTTGCTACATCAGAAGTTCAAAAGCTTTCTGCTTGGAAACAAAAGCTCTGAACTCATTAACCAAACATCTTAAGAAAGCTGTCAAGGGTGTGATATAAGAGGAATGTGAACACAGTACTAGAGGCTCTAGAAGCTGGTGGGCAGGTCCTGCCTGGTGGCAACATGGAGCAAGAGGATGGGAGGACTCACCAGTGCCCATACCCACTCTTTTTACCCCCCTTGACCGCTTTTTCTACATTTGACCATTCGGAAGGTGCAGGTCTCTTTGTCTGGTGTCTGATGTGGAGGATGTCTCATAGATCTCGAGGTCATGGTGCATACTCAAGAAACTGAGGCAGGAAGATCTCAAGTTTGAGTCCCACTTGGGCAACTTAGTGAGACCCTGTCTCAAAAATAAAAATAAAAAGGACTGTAGCTCAGTGATCCCTAATACTAAACAACAGCAACAAAAAGACATTCCAAGTTCTGGCAGCACTGTGGTACTGAGGAACTGGGGCATCTTCAGCAGTGAAGCATTTTAACTGTTGTAGAGCATACACTTAGAATATGATAGTAGGAAAATGTGATCTTTCAGGATTCTATGTCACCTTGAGGCCACCTATCTAGGAGCCCCAGAAGTGCTTGGAGAGTGGGTACTGTAACTCACCAGAAGGCTCTGGTGTTCATGCGGTGGGACTCAGCCCTATAATTGTCAACATGTGGTCATGCCATGGGCATTCATCTAGGCAGAAGGGTCTTTCCATGCCGTTCCTTCCCTCTCTTGGTCATCCCTAAGATGAGCCAGGAACCAGGTCGCCATGGCCTAGCCTTCCAGGACCCTCAGCCTGGCCAAAGTGGACCACTGTTCTTGTGCTTGGCCACCAGCCAGGGCTCGGGGAACAGGCCGATGAGATCACTGGACAGTGCTGATAGCAGGATGCCCTCTTGGTCCTGTCTGACCTTCGCTTTCCTCCATCCACAGCACAGCAAAAGGAGATGTCGTTTGTTACTATGGAAACCGGGGAGAGCCTGAGCCCATTGTCCTGATGCCAGGTGAGCCTGCTCTGGCAGCCTGACAGGATGAAGCACTGCTGCTGTGTTGGGGATCCCCCTGTGCTTTTCAGGGACCAGGCCCCTATTGTTCTTTTCTCGTGGGACTGTACTTTTTGCTGATTTGTGCCCCTTATGATCTGTATGGGACTTTGGCCTGCACTGAGCTCAGCACTGTTCCTGCCATCTTCCTGTGGGTTTTCCTAGAAAGTGAGACTCAGAACCTACTATGGACTCTACCACAGCCCTGCAGCCTGCCTGGAAATCCCTAGGCCCCGCATCTCAGCCCTGTGTCTGCTTGTCGTTCTCAGAGCCTTTGGAGCAGTTACCACCTGGGGTATTCCACTGCACCTCCTCCCAGGTGCACATACACATCACACTCCAGCCTCTCACAGATGCATACCTCCTGCACCCGGTCTCATGCCTGGCCCACGTCCTTAGGGACTGTCCCCTTCTGTCTCCCCAACTCTGTCCTGGTCTCCTTCTCTGGGTTCTCACTAACACCTTTGCCCAGGCTGTACCTTCTGTGGCTCTGCCCTGCTGTTCTTGCTGACTTGGGTGTTGTGATTTCCTGGAAGCCTCTCTGCCAGCTCCCCTCCTCCTGAGCAGGCAGAGAGTATCACATTATACCCCCATTCAGTGTCTTGTCCTGTGTCTGCTTCTTCCTTCTCCAACTCGCTGCCTGAGGCCAGTTATCGCTTGTGGCATCTCAGGACTGTGGACCTCAGACACTCGCTCTTTTTCTTATACCTGAGCCATTGGCCTTTATCAGATGCCCCAGCCCCTGAAGAATGTCAACACTCTCAGCACCACCCAGATACCTAGTGTGTGACAGACCTCCTTTCTGTAGCACAGTTCCTGTGTCCCCAAATCACGGGGACTTTCTTTGCAGTTGGCACCAGTCACTAAGTAAGGTTGCAGGATACAGGTCAGCCCTCTCTACAGCAGGTCAGTGGTGGGCCTGAAACCCTGAGCATTCTAGGCAGGGGCCAAGGGAGGTGGGGAGCAGCCCCTAAAACAGTTGTGAGGCCCAACATGGCTGCATCTCAGGAGGCTGGCAGAGTCTCAGGGCTGATCATGAGCTCTGTGATGCCTGCTGGTTTACACTGTATGTACTTGCATTCACCCTGGTTCATACCAGGGCTGGCTTCCAACTTCTCATGGCTGTCCAGGGCCATTTTGGGCACATGTGGGTCGAGGAATTCCCAAACACCACTCTGCTAGGGTGGTGAGCAGGCCAGGATACCTTGGGCCAGTGGCATCTTCAGAGGAGGCCACCCCCATCCCATCCCTGGAGGGTGTCCTAGTGCACCTCGCCTGTTCCCCTGAACAGGCCCACTCTTCCTTTATGTGGGGCTGCCAGCTGTGGGGTACTCCACAGCAGGAGCCCAGCCACCCCCTGTGATGACGGTCCTCCCCTTCCAACTTTGACAGAGCCTTGGGGGTCCAGAGCAGGTCCAGCTGAGCTCCCAAGAGCCTGGCGATATCTAACTGAGGCAGAGGGCTGTGGTGCTGTGTGTGCTAAGCTTGGCATCATGTTCTTACTGTTCTGCTTGCCTTGATGCCTCCACATCAGTTCAGCATCTGGGGTTCCGGTGTGCAGTGTGGTGGGTAGTTGTCCACATACCATTAGGGCTGCCCTGAGCCCTTGGCAACTACCTGCGAAGAAACTAGAAAACAAGGCAGGAAAGGAGGCAGACATCCTCCTTCCTCATTCAAAACATGGGCCTAGAGGGCTTTGGGGAAGCAGCTGGAAGCTATCTTGAAGCCTTTTGTTCTCAGTGGCTGAGAGGCCCCATGGCTAGAGAAGCTTATTTTTGGCTAAGTCATTTTTGGTAGAATTCCTTTTATCCACATCCTGTTTCATTCCCAAGCCTGCCTTTACCTGATCCAAGTTGCCAGCAGCTGGGGAGGAGGTAGAATGGGAAGATATTGTGGCAATCAGTCTTGGGTTTCCTTAGGCGATAATGAAAAGGTTCTGGGCTTAGATAGTGGTGATAATAGCACAATTTTGTGCATATACTAAAACCCATAAGCTACGACACACTTTAAATAGGTAAACTGTAGAAAATGTGAGTCATACCTGAATAAAACTGTTATTTAAAAAGAGGGGACTGGGAATTTGGCTCAGTGGTAAAGCACATGCTTAGCAGGTATCAGGCCCTGAGTTCAATCCCCTGCACAATAACAGTAATAATAATAATAATATTGTAGGACATGGATCAGGTTGAGGGGCAGGCTTAGGGATGAAACATGACATAGATGTCCCCACATGCTAAGGTTTCCTAACTGCTGGCAGAAGTCGGGGCCTATCAAGGTAGTTGCCCTCCTAGCCATGGGTTGCTGATTGTCCTCTTTTGCCCTTCTCAGCCACGGAACTGAGAAGGTGTTCTCATTCTCTAGCCTTGAGAGAGATTCCCCATTAGCATTCCAGTTGTTTGTTCCATGTCAGTGTGTTTATTCAGAGGCCAGGTAGCTATACCTCATGGTCTCTTGTGTGTGCCCACCAGCTGAGTTCTTCATCCCTCACTACACAGAGAGGGCACAGAGGAGGTGCCAGAGTAAAAGGATAGCTTGGCCTCAGTCTGTTTCAATTTTCTTGCCTTGGCTGTACCAGCTTATGCCAGGTGGATTGGTGAGAGAGCAGGAGTTTACCCTGAAATCACATAGCAGGGCCTCTGCATGGCCAGGTTGACCCCCCTTCCTGCAGGAACCTATGGGCTGAGCAACGCACTGCTGGAGACGCCCTGGAGGAAGCTGTGTTTTGGCAAGCAGCTATTCTTGGAGGCTGTGGAGCAGAGCCAGGCCCTCCACAAGGATGCCCTTGTCGCTCAGCTTCTGGACGTGCTGAACAATGAGGAGGCGTAAGTGGACAAGGCCCCACTGGGTAACCATCGAGGCCCTTGGGTCACAGAGGAAGGCCAGCTCTGCTGCCTGAAGGCCCATGGAGGTGACCAGGGCTAGCTCTTCAGCTGCCTTCCTGCTCTCCCTACTTATGTCCCTTGAGCATCCAGTTGGTATTTTCCACAGAGGACTTTGATGATGAGAAGTGGGGCAACTGAGAGCCTGTGGGCTGGGGAGTTCGGTGCTCCCTGACCTTGGATGTAGGCTTGCATAGCATTAGAGGAGCTGGAAGCTCCTTTCCACATGAGGGAGGCCAGTTGGAAATTCTGGAAGATACCAGGTGTTCAGAAAGCCCTGAGGGCAAGAGCCACGGAACTGAGAAGCCAGGCTCAGAGCTGGTCTTGAGGGTGACAGAATCTCCCATATGCTGTCTCTCTAGTGATATGGGCTGAACATTGGGCACAGATGCACCTGTCCCTGGGGCTAGGAGAGCCCCCACATGCTTCCTGGCCTGGAGGCAGTGAGGGACTGCAAGGGGCAATGGAACATGCTCAGACACTGGCCATTTAAATCTTGGCCATCTCAGCAGGGGGTCTCAGTGCTTGTCAAGCTGCCCTTGGTCTCATGCGCAGCCCCACACGTCCCTTCCCATCCCATTTAAGCTGGCCACCTTCCTACCCAGATGATCCAGTGCCTACTACCACTTCTTCCGGCTCTATTGCTCTAGCATCCCCTCAGAGGAATGGTCCCACCATGATTTCCGGGGGCGCCTCCCTGCCCCCTGCTCATCCTTCCTCTTTCCTGTACCTCCCTCTCCTCTGTGCCATGGCATCATCCCTCAGCCTCAGCATTACTACCCGTCTAGGGAGCCCTACTGGCCTCCTTGTCCAGCCACCTTCTCAGCTATAAGTCCACATAGTGGTTGGTCATTGTGTCATCCTGGGCAGCTCTGAGATGGTCACTGGGTGCTGTCATCAGTGGCTGCAGCCCTGTTGCCTGTTGCAGTTACTGGCAGTTCAGGGCTCAAGCAGACTCCTGTCACGCAGACAGATTCCCATAGGGCAGCTCTAGGGGCAGGCAGAAAGTGTGTGTGGCATCTAGCTGGCTGGCTGAATGATGGAATCCTACATGGAAGGTTAACACAGGTATGGGCCACCAAGCAGCCAAGAAGGTGAAACAACCCTCATGGTTTTGCACAGCCTGTCCATGGCTAAGGGGCTCCTTAGGAACCTTGAGGTTGGTAGGCCACGTGGCTACATGGGACTGTAGGCAGGCAGCAGAGGGTCTGATTCCCAACCCTTTCCTCTGTTCTTCCAGCCAGCTGCCAGACCCGGCCATCGAGGACCAGGGCCAGGAGTATGTACAGCCCATACTGAGCAAGTATGCAGCTGTATGTGTCCGCTGCCCAGACTATGGCACCAGGTATGTTGGGTCAATCACCTCTGAGGCTGGAGGAAATGGCAAAGAAACAGCTTCCCCACACTCTACAGCTGGCTAGGGCCAGACTCCTTCCCTAATTGAGTGGATTCTAGAGCCTCTGCCCTGCCTAGACTTGGCTGTGGGGGGTGAGAAAGTCATAAATAAATGACTGCCAGCTCCCAGCTTTGAGGTCCTTCAGTTTCCTCTGGGTCCTAGGAAGGGCCTCTGAGCTGTTCCCTTCCAAGTCAGGGATTGTGATGCCCTCTGCCTGACCTTTGTTACTCCGAATTGCTTTTGCTATTATAGGTCTCCTCTGGTGCCAAGTGAATTTTAGGATTGTTTTCTCTAACCCTGTGAGATAGGCTATTGATATTTTGATCGTATCCCCTTCTAGTGAGGTGCTAGTGTACAGCCACCGGGGAGCCAGGGCTAGCATCTGTGTTGTTTTTGGCAGATCCCCATGGGTAGATGCCCTGGTACTCACATTCTAGGCCTCATGGGTTACATACCGTGATGGTGGCTGCAGGCTGGTCATTTCTCTATGTGTCCACCTTTCTTCCGTGGGAGACAGGTATTACAACATGAAGAACCTCCCAAGCTGGCCATGGTAGCACACACCTATGTCCCCACCACTTGGGAGGCTAAGGCAAAAATATTGCCATGAGTTCAAAGCCAGCCCAGGTTACATAACGAATTCAAGGCCAGCCTGAATTACATACTGAGAACTGGGCTCAAAAATAAAACAAGGGTTGGGGATATAGCTCAGTGGCACACTGCCTGTCTGGCAAGCACAAGGTCCTGAGTTTGATTCCTGGTACCAAAAAACAAAACAAAACAAAACCCAAGAAAATCATGAAGAACCTCCCACAATGGGGGAAGACTGGTTGGGAAGAGGAGGAGGGTATGCTGAGTGTTAGCAGGGGTCCAGCTGGCTTGGCTGGGGAGGTAGGGGAAGAAGGGAACAGGAGGGAGTTTTCCGGGAAGGAAATACATGGGCCCCCAGTAGTTGAGAGCCTGACTTTTTGGAAGAACAAATGGAGGCCAAGAGTCTGGACCTTGGGGTCCTCTGAGTAGCTAGGTATGTGGTCAAGCTAGCAGTTGCCCTGTGAATGTGACAAGTAGGCAGGCAGGCTGGTATTTCAGAGCAAAGGCCACAGACTCACCTGTGTGGGCCTACAGGGCCAGCCAGGGAGCCAAGATGCCCCTGGCAAGCTCCTTCAAGGTTGAGATTGCTGCTCATCTATGACCCTCCCCCAACCCTGGCTGAAACTGAGGGCATAGCACAGGTCCCAGGCTTGGTGGGCTTGCGTCTACCTCAGCAATGGTTCAGACAGGTGGGACTGGCACCAAGGGTTGCATGGAGAACATTGTCTTTCAGAACAAACACCGTTATCCTTGTGGATGCAAATGGTCAGGTGACCTTCACAGAGCGCAGCATGCTGGACAAGGATCCCTCCCGCTGGGAGACCACCACCCACGAGTTCATGCTTCAGAGCTAACAGGGCTTCCGGGAGGTCCTGCCTCAAGGCCAGTGTGGACTAGAATCGTCATGGCCATACTGTGCTGCCCATAACTCAGCCAGTGTTCTTCAGGCCCAGTGCCCTCTGATCTGTGTGTTATCTGTCTGTGTCTCTCTACCCAGCTCAGGTGCTAGGCCTGTGCAGGCCCATGTATGCCATACATTGACAATGTACCTGAGTCTACCCTGCCTGTTGTGCATAGGCAAACACATACATGTAGGGGGCATGTGTTAACACACTTACATGCATAAATATGCACATGTGTACATGGATAGGTGCACAGGCACACATATGCACATACATGTAGCAGGCAAGCAGAAAAGTACTTCTCACCACACATGCACTTCTAGTCAGTGGGTCTTTGCTCTGGTCAAGTGGCAAGGGTAAGCATTTGTTTAAATAGACCTTTTCTTTCCTGGGAGCACAGAGTACAACTGTAGTTCAGTTCCCCTACAACCAGACCTCCTGCAGAGGAGACAGGCCCCATCAAAGAAGATATAAGAAAAACTCATTTTTACAACTTAAGCACACCCTTAGCAGAGATCCAGTGGTCTTGCATGTGCCAGAGGGTCCTGTGTATATGGGGCAGTTTCCATCTACATTGGGTGATTTTAGGATGGTGTAGATGTCTTCTGTATCCTAGCAGGGTCTCTGTGTACCAGGGGTCCCATGTACACTCCTCATTCTGACCAGGGAGGGCAGATGTGTGCTTGGGACTTTTAGGCCTCTTTCACTCGGGTGAACATTGAGGGCTCTGCGCAGGCCTGTCTCAGCAAGGGGATTTAGCTAACCCTTGCTGTCTCCCTTTTCCTTCTTGGAGAGTTCAGCTTCATAAGAATCTGAACTTATGTGAGCTATGGATAATAAAGCTTTGAGTCTGTGATGAGTGTGTTTCAAGGTCTTTCCTTTGTGTGATGGTGACAGGACCTCCTGTGGTGGTACAGATGCCTATATGAGGCTCTTTCTCCTTCCTCCCTTCTACATGATGAAGCCCATGGCTCAGGTGGTCCATCTGTCCTTGGGCAGAGGGTGGGGCACAAGAGAACCTCTGTGTGTGTGCAAAGTAGGTGCTGTTTACAGGGCAAATCACTTAATACTAGGGCATATGAAGAGGAACCTTGGGAGGGAGAGGCACGGTCAGCCTGTGAATGGCAGTGGGCAAGTAAAGTCTGCTTTAGTCCTGGCACTGAGGAGCTGAAGTCCCCAGCCCAGCCAAGATTATACCCCACATAGCTAATGCACAGGCCCAAGGCTTCTTTCTGCCTCTCCAGCTGACCCCTGACTTGGCCTGTCAGAACACAGCACCCACAGCAATGAGCACAGGGTAGATGTGGACTTGCACTGAGGTATCCCAGTGTGGGTGTGATGAATCATTGGCCTGTCTGGGGACGAATGGAGGCCCACCTTCCCTGCCCCAGGTCTGTGAGGAAACTGGTTTCAAGTCCATATGTGTCTGGCAGTCACAATGACAGGCTCTCAGCTGGGGCTACTACCCTATGCCAGCATCCTCCATCTGCCTCAGTGGTCTGCCCTATGTCCTTATTCTGTGCCAGCCCCACCCTGACCAAGCACACTGCCTTCATGCAGAGCCTCCACAGATGTTTACCTCCACTCTAGGACTAGACATGCCCAGGCAAAGCTAAGTCTTGTCATGAATCCCTCGGGCCCCAGCCTGTCAACAAATGAATCTATGTCTTCAGGAGGCCCATCGTATGGCCTTGGTGTTTTTTCTTCACTTCTGTTGAGGCATAATTAATATACACTCTTAACACATATTTAAAGTGTACAATATGCTAAGTTTGGGTGTGCTGGTAACTTTGGTTCCTAGGTTACGGTGGAGTCTTCCTCTGCAATTACAAGTATCTTGGGGTACAAAATTGCAACAGTGTAAAACAAAACAAAACTACCCATACCCAACAAACAACAACACTCCACTCCAGACATCTGGGAATGTAGCTCCATATTAGAGTGCCAGTCAGCACGAAGAGGTTCTGGGTTCAAGCCTTAGCATCAAAACAAAAGCCAAAACTTGCTTTTCATTTTTTGGCCATTTTTTAAAGCACTAAAATAAAACAAAACATGCATGACTTTTGTGTCGAGTAGCCATTACCGAGGTGCCTGCCCAGCGGGAAATGTATTTCCACCATCCCCTCTCCATTTATTGGCGAATGCTAATCTAAGAAAGAGCTGTCTCCTCATTTACTCACATCCTCCCTTTTTGAAGACTGGATGCGGTACTACCAAATGGAAAACTGCCAGAGCTGGGCATACTTAATTTTTAAAAGGTGACTATTTGACCACCTAACGCTTTTAACTAGAGGCCGTGAAACGCCTAGGCGTAGAACCCCTCCGCGCAGACAGATCACAGCAAGACAGCGTGTCAACTTCTCGGCTCCCGGCGTCCTCCGCGCTCCCGGTTCCCGGCATCCACCGCACTTTTCACTCCCCTACTCCCGGCATCCTCCGCACTCCCGGCGCTCCCCGCGGCTTACCGCCCCTTGCGCTGAGCCCCGCCCCGGCGGCTTACCGTTAGCGAAGCCCAGGCCTCGGTGTCTTGTCCCGCCCACGCAGCCTAGCTATTGGGCTGCACGCCGAGGCCACGCGCACCTCCTATTGCCGATTGGCGGTCTCCGCAGCCCGCTCTGCAGTTCTCCCAATGTTGGTGGCAGCGCGCGGGGATTGGTCGCGCGCTGCAAGGGTCCGCCCTCCGCTCTCCCGGCGCGGCAGGCGGGTCCCGCCGACCGGAGAGCTTGGGGGGGCCTTGCTGGTGCGGCGGCGGCGGGGCGGTGAGGGTCTCTCGGCTTTGGTCGGGCAGCGGGCGGCTCGGGCA